GGGTTATGTTAGGGCATTCATACATTTGAGTGTTTCCTTAATGTACTCGATATTTTATTATACTAATTACCCTTGCTTTGTAGTACAAATTTTTTTTGAGCTAGGGTATTTTTTTATTATTAGGAGAGGTAGAATAGATATTTCTATAAGAATTTAGTGGAATTCTCTTAGTAGTCAAGAAGTAATTAATGGTCCATGTGGGGGACGTCACACCCCCATTTAGATGATGTCATTTTCTACTGTAGTTAATAAATGTTCTTCTTTTTATCATAAATTTTTACTTTACCCTTGAATAATTACTAAAAATACCAATAGACAAAAAATTATTATATTATGGGGTAAAGATAATATCAAAAAATGTTGAGCACATTAAAGAAATACTTAAATGTGTGAGTATCCTAACATAACTCTACACACTGCACACACACACATATGATTTGAGGAGGCTTAAGACCGAGCCACCAACAACTTGTCATAAAATTTCATTAAAACTTGAGATATACATTATAACTAGCAAGTTACTTTGTGATATTTCTTGCAGATGAGCTGGGATTGGAGAAAAATTCTTGAAGTTCTCATACTAGGCCAATTTGTTATCAAGAAGGTTGGTTGTTCAACAAAGCTACATATAAGCACCTCGGAAGACAGTTGCTTGCCTACATCATTAAACTCATCATAATTTCTTATAGTGTCAAAGCACCTTATTTTGTTGAGGGCAGTATTCTAACAATGGTATAATTATATGAATGAGGCCATCACATGTTGTCTGAGGTTTTTAAGAATAATAAGCCGGTTGGAGAACTACCAGTGATGGATTTTCTCTGACTAAGTCTCTTGAGGACAACTCGCTCTACCCTTTTCGATAATGAATAATTAAAAGGATTGGAGATGGTTGGAAAGCCCAGCGAAATTATATGAATAACTCAACTTTACAAATTAAAAATTCACCTGGCTGGTAAAGTTAAAATACATGAGAGGGTGCACTAGGTTTGACCAGCTGGGTGACTATCGGCATATAAAGTTGGGTGTCCATATGGTCCATCTGGGTTTTTCAGACAATCAGCAAAGGATGTCATATTACTAAGAGGGTTGACTTACATGAGTTGATGGCCCCACCATCACCTCCCTTGTTGCTCTCCTATGTTGTAAAAAACTAGGTGAAAGGATGATTGATACATGGAATGCCTAATCTCAGTAATTGAAGATCCCTTCCTCTCTTATTGCTCTTTTATGTTGTAAAAGATCTTGATGAAAAGATGATCGGTTGAGAATGTAAAGCTGTTCCTTTGCGACAATGCTTCAATTTGGAGCAATCACATAACTGCTAACTTGTGGATAAATAGTGGCTGACGGTTTATTAGCTCTGAGGATAACTCTGTCTAGTAGTTTCTTTCTGCAAATCTTTAGTGTATTCAGAGCTAATGTAATGTTTCAATATTCTTGGATTGGGTTTTCCTTTTAAAAGTTCTTGGACTACCTTGTTAAACTGTGATATTAGAATTTGGATGTCCTTCAAGCTGAAGTTTGTTTGGTATGCTCTTGTGGTCCTGAGTGACCAGGTAATGGAAGCAGCACAAGCATCAGCAGGACTCTCAGGTGCCATTGGCAGTGGCTATTCCAATATTAACCATATTGCGCATCTGTCCGGTGCTCTAATTGGTGCTGCTCTCATATGGCTCATCAGTCGAATTCCTTCTCAGCCCAAGCAAAGAAAATCCAATTGGGATATCAGTAAAGGATAGGACTTAAATCTTAACATGCTTCTGTGCTCAGCAACATTGATATCTTATCAACGTCAGGTTCTCTCTCTCTCCTCTCTCCCTCTCTCTCTCTCACACATACACACTCACGCTCCCCAATGTGCTCATCATGCATAGATTGCAAATGAGCGCAACTTGGATGTTTGAAATCCCATATAGACAGCAGGATGAATCTCTCTCTCTCTCTCTCATGCTTGGATTCCAAATGAGCGCAACTTGGACGTTTGAAATTCCATATAGACAGCAAGATGAATCTCTCTCTCTCTTACCCACACCCACATCCACACACACACACCCCTCATGGACTGGACATGCTTGGATGGCAAAATGCCTAGAACTAGGATCTTTGATACCCATTAAGATAGCAAGGAGTCTCTCTCTCTCACTCTCTCTCATTTGTGCACCCATGTTCAAAATGGAAAACTTGCATTTTATCATGCATTCTTCTCTGTTTCAGAATTTTGAAATGGCTGAGCTGTTCAGGAACATCGATGATTTACCTGGAAAAGTACTTCCTGGTTAAGCTCTAGGAACTGTCGAGACCCATGGTGATCCTTGTAGTTACAGAGTGAGGAGTCTTTTGTATATAGATTGTATAATTTCAACATGGATCATTTTGACAGTTGTGGGTATTATGATTCAACAATACCACTATTCTTATGAAGTGATATTCCACTGTATTATCTCCAAAGAGTGATCTTCTCTCTGGTGTTGAATTGTGAAGGAATTTCATGTGAATTACTTGTGTTGCAGATTTTGAGTTCATGAATCAACACTCCCTGTTATTATTTACCAAATCTCTACTATATGTTTTCTACGGGGTAAGTCCAACTGTCATTTTTTATTATCTCATTATTCTAATTCGTAAAGCTGCTGTTATTTATCAAAAAAAAATTGTAAAGCTGCTGTTTCATTCGGAAAATATCAATTAGGGGTTGAAGGATTACAATTTACATTCAAGGGTTTACTTTTAAATTTCTATTTCACTTGGGTATATCCCGAATTGTCCCTATTCAGGTTCAAGAAGCCTGAACAATCACTTTAGTAATTTTATCCCCCAAAGCCTTAATGAAATGAAATGCTTACTAAAATGTCCCTAATTATTAAGGTTTCTACCTCCTGAACAGTGACAATTTAGCAATTTTTTAAGCTATTTTTCTGAATATTTACGTTATTAAAACCTGAATTGGGTCATATTGGCTGAAGTTCCTTAAGCTAAATAGTGAAACCAGCCATGCTTTTTCCCAGGATCCATTCAGGGAGCATGTGTTTGTTTTCAAGAAAACCTTTTTTGTGGAATCTGATACAAGCAAGAGCATTTTGGTTTATTTGGCTCCACTCATTAAAATACCCCTCCTTGTGTTATTCCAAACCCTGACTAGAGGCGTTTGAGTATCTTTTAATGAACGGACTGCATACAATGAGACCATTTATCGGTACAAGGTCACAATTACCTATAACCATATAATATGAAATCTAATAGCTCGGGTGTGTCAGAAAGTTCGAGAAATTTATTTTGAACTTTGGGTTTGATCAATAGAAAAAATGCAGTCACCCAATTTCATATTTAGTGGTCAAAATTAATTGTGATCGCCTTGTACCAAAGGTAAATGGTTACATTTTATACTTCTCTTTTAATAAAATACTTTAGAAAGTACTTGAGAGATGATTTTAATAAAATAAGCGCTCTGCCATTTTGGTGATAAATTGATTGATTTGACCATCTCGGTGATTGTTTAAAGCGCTTTGATCATTTTATGGGTCTATCCTCCAATAAAAGGACCTTGTAGAGTTGTAGTTGTGGGTCTGATGAGGTGTGGGATAGGCTCTCTAAGCTTGATATTGACATGGTACACTTTTACTAGGAGCCTAGATTGGAAGCAGATGCAGATCCCCTTGCCAAAGAGGGGGCTGAGAAGCAAGTGTTTTGTGTCACCCATTTTTATGTACATAAGTGGGCTCATTTCTATGAAGCTCAAAATCATTATACATGTATAATAATTATATTAAAAAGATCAATGAAATTATTTCTATAAAGCTCAAAATCATTCCTATAAAGCTCAAAATCATTATACTCGTACATTTTTGACAAGATCAATGGAATTATATTGTAATGTTCATAGAAAGAAAGAAGAAAAAGAACCTGGCATTCTTGGGAAACTAGGTTATCGTTTACATATTGCAAGAGCTATTTATGCTAGGAAAATATGTACAATGAAACCATTTACTTTTGATACAAGGAGTTCATAATCATCCTTGACCATTAGATTTGAAATTGGGAGGTTGAAGATGTGTCGTTGTTTTGACATACATTTTCATTTATTGGATTTCACATCTAAAGGCTAAAAGTTATTGTTACCTCCTTGTATGAAAAATAAATGGTCTGATAGTATATAATCCCCTTATGATATTCTACTTGATCAATATTCTTTGGTCTCATAGTATATAATCCCTTTATGAAAAAAAATTTCAGAAAAAAAAAACAAGTTCATAATGATGGATAAAAATCTTTCATTATACAATGCAATTAAGCAATTTACAAGGAATTCTCAAAAAGATCAACTCTGTTTGGCAATTTAAATATCACTTTGTCATTTCACAAGATACAGATGGAGAAGATTTTGTTCTGTTTCAGAGCACGTTTAAGGTCTATGCCCAGCTTCAAAACAAATAACTCAACCAATGCACGATTCAAAAGAATGGTGTCCTCTCAATTCAAAAGTACCAACCTGCATGAACTGATCATCAATCCACAAAACCCATATTTCATCTGAGATTGCTTTAGACAAACAATAGGAGACCTCAACCCCGTTCTCCCTGTATGTGAAAGAAGCAGGAAATTTGAAGCCCAATAACAGTTGAAAGAAGATAATTCCCCCTCTTTAAACACAACTCTACTCCTTTTGGCCCCAACCTCACCATTCTGATCAGCCATAGCACTCAAGAAATCAGAACCAGAGGAACCCAAATTCTGCTTCCTATCAACATCCACCATTAAGGTCTCCTCCCCTATCTCTTTACCCCTTTCAGGACTTAAAACCCTCGCTGCCTCATTGGGTAAGCCAACAGAGATCCATGCCTCTGCAACAAGATTTATGCTGCTCTTCTCTAGTGAAATTCCTGCCTCTTCCATCTTCTCAAGCATCTCTTCGGCCTTCCATGGCTGCTTTGCTTCCCCATATCCCCAGATTAGGGTTTCAAATGTCTTAAGGTTTGGAGAAACCCCATATTCAGTCATTTTTTGGAAGACCCTCATGGCCTTCTCCATTTGTGCAGCATTACACCATCCACTTATGATGGTAGTGAATATGACAACATTGGGGGATACCATTGCATCATCCATGGACAAGAGAAGGGCTTCGGCTTTGTCGGGCTCTCTTGCGCGAACATATCCTTTGGCTAGGATGCTATATGCATGGGCATCAGGCTCTATACCGGCCTTGACCATGTCATAAAAAATGCCTCTACATTTTTCCATTAGACCAGCAGTGCTCCATGCATTCATGATGGTGCTGTAAGTTATTACATCTGGTTTGATCCCAAATTCTTCCATCAAAGTTAGGACCTGTATTCGGACAATACACAAAACCAAAAACCTTACAAGGACCAATATGTTCTATTCACTCATGGCATAACCAAATTTCACAAGAATGTACAAGTAGTTGACAACACATTCATGTAACACATTCATGTAAGGAACTATACATGCATATACAGATGCGTCTGTGCGTGTTTGTGAAGAGAGAGAGAGAGAGAGCAAACACGATGACAGTCAACAAAATCAAGAGAAAACAGTTAATGGTACATATTTGAGTTCTAACTATGCATTTTCATGTGTTTGTGCTTGTGTGTGTGTGTGTGTGGTGGTGTGAGAGAGAGAGAGAGAGAGAGAGAGAGAGAGAGAGAGAGAGTACGACGACGACCGACGTACGTACGTAACGTTAAACGTTAAACGTTAAACTTAACTTACCGTACGAAACCAAAACCAAAACCTAAACCTAACCTACCT